GCGTTTACTATGGACGCCGTACTGAGGGCTCCAAACGCAGCATCCATATTCTAAGATATGACGAACTAAAGAAGAATATAAGGATTAAGTAACATAGGGGTCATTGAATTCCTTTGACCACCGTTTAATAAATCCAAGCACACCCCTGGCTCTATTCACTATAGACGAAATATGATCAATAAAGTCAAGTTTTGGGCCCAAGCGGACGCCCAAATCATCAACAGAATTAATTCTTTCCAAAGAGCAGCAGTTCAGCGTGTAAGTAGCCAGCTTAGGAACGACACGAGAGAATGTCATTAGCTTGCATTTCGAGCCATTAAAGTTTAATAAGTTTAAACGGCACCAAGTTTGAAAATTATTAAGATCTGTTTGTAAATCCGACTGGCAGGCAACTTCATTGTATTGCACACAAAGCTTGACGTCATCCGCGTACATAAGAACTCTGGAGTTTGTCAGGACTTTGGGCAGGTCATTTATAAATAATGTAAACAATAAGGGTCCCAAATGGCTTCCTTGCGGAACGCCATTTGTAACTGTAAGAGAAGATCACTTGGAAAACCCATTAAATCGAGTTTTCTAAGGAGGAGATAATGGTTATTAGAGTCAAATGCTTTACTGAAATCAGTATAGATTACATCTGTCTTACAATTATTATGGAAGCCCTTTATAATATAGGAAGAGAGCTCCAAAAGATTTGTTGTTGTTGATCTTCGCTTAATAAAATCATGTTGACATGGAGAAATAACCGATCTACAAAGGAGCTGTAAGTGAGGGGTGATAATGTTTTCAAATAAATTAGGGATGGCCGACTACTTAGAGATTCCTCTATAATTGCTGGCATCCAGCTTGCTACCTTTTTGTGGAGAGGAATAATAAACGATTCCTTCCAAATAATGGGAAAGTGGGAGGTTTCTAAGGACAAGGTAAACAATTTCAGAAGGGGATAGTACAGGGCGTGGGCACAATCCCTGAGCAAACAGCCAGGAATTCCGTCGGGACCTGGCGAATTAACTGGCTTGACACGATGAAGATCTGAAAGGAGAGAGCTTTCGTTAAGGCTAGGACAGAAAATTAAGTTTGATTTGGGTATGTCGTAGGAATAAGTCTGGTGTAAATACGAAGAGCTTAAATAAGTTGTTTGAAAAAACTGCGAAAATAGATCGGCTATTGCCTGATCATTATTTGCGGTAGTATTTTCAAATGAAAGCGAGAAAGGATTTGTTTTAGGCTTACGTTTAGTGTTAACGAAATTATAAAACTATTTGGGGTCCTGTGAGAACAGGGCCCTACAACGAGTTAAATGGTTTTTATAAAACTGCGCGTTCAGCACGGTAAAGTTTGACCGAGCTGATAAATAAAATGAAAGGGCAGATTGAGAACCGGTGAATTTAAATTTAGAATACAGTCTAGATTTTTTATTTTTAAGTCTTCTCAACTCTTTAGTAAACCACGGCGGTTTATTCGAGCTTGGCGGATAATATAACGGAACACATTCAGTAAAAAATGAATTCATTGCACTGCAAAAAATATCCAGATCGATCAAGCGCTGTAAGGAATTTCGCACATGGTTGTCTTGAGACAGCGAAATGTCAAACAAGCCAGCGATAAAGTCATGTTGTGTAGGTGTATGGAGAGTATTGGTGGAATTATTTGAGCACCGAATAGCACCAGGGATATTAAAATTTCCTAGAACTACCAACTGGTCTCTATCCAAAAGTCTACTGGAAACCATCTGAATAGCGGAAAAGTGATTTCAATAAGTAGGAAGTTCCGACAGTGGAGGTATGTAGGAACAGGTAATAAAAATGGAGCTACCTTTGATAGATAGCTTCACACAGAGGAATTCAACATCGTTGCATTGCGGAGTCCACCGCTATAAGAACTCCACCCCCGCGTCTGATAGGGAGATCTAACCGATATACCGTGAACACAGCTGGAAAAACTTCGGAGCTCAGAATCTCCTGCTTGAACCAGGTTTCAGTGAGCACAATAATCTGAGATGCAAGCGAAAGGCTATCAGAATACAAGTTAGGAAGCTTACTACGTAAGCCTCTTGCATTCTGATAGGAAATACCTAAGAAGTAGGTCTATTGTTCTCCTGCGCAGGATTTCTGTCTTCTTTGGTATCTTGTAGTGACTTTATTTACATTTCCAGTTATATTTTGCAGTTCTTTGATGGTTATTCTTGATAACGCATCGTCTACGTAATTGTCTTTTCCCTTTAAATGTTCAACTGTGAAGTTGTATTCTCCTAATTCTAGCCTCATACGTGTCAGTTTGGAACTTGGGTTAGTCATTGAGAACAAGTATGTTAAAGGTCTGTGATCTGTTTTGATTGTGAAATGTTTGCCATAAATGTATGGTCGAAAATGTAATAATGCCCAGTGTATTGTAGCTAGTTCCTGCTCGGTAGAACACTTATTACTTTCTCCCTTGGTAAAGGCTCTTGATGCATATGCAATGGGAAGTTGGAGTCCGTTATGGTTTTGAGTTAAAAGCGCTCCACATGCTTTCTTACTTGCATCAGTAATTATACAAAATTCTTTACTGAAATCGGGATATTGGAGCAAGGTAGGTTCCATAAGTTTTGTTTTTAAATATTCGAATGCGTTTTGGCATTCAGCTGTCCATTCAAAAGGAACATTCTTTTTACATAATCGTGTTATGTGCCGTGAATATTCGCGAAATTATGTATGAATCGTCTGTAGTAATTGCAGAATGCTACAAAACGTCTTGCGCTGTCTGCATCGTGTGGGGCTGGATAATTCAGTATGACGTCATATTTGTTGTCGTCTGGAAGTATTCCTTTATCTGTGCACTTATGACCTAGAAAAGTCACCTCATGCAATAAGATTGAACATTTTTGTGGATGTAACTTTAGGTTGTATTTCCTACATTTCTCAAAAACTTTTGTTATGTTTTAATGCATATGTTTTTCGGAGCAATAGGTTGCTCTCTCTATACTTCAAGGTAGATTATTTACATTTATGATACTGAACTTTAGAAAGCCATATGGATTTAAGATGTTTGCATAAAAAATAAAATAAATAGTTAAATATTATGATTAAATCCATTGAACTTCTTGTACGTGTTATTGAGAATGTTCGGCAAGTCCATTACGTCCGTCAATTCCTTCTGTGGTGAATCTAACCTTAATTCTCCTTTTTTACATCTGTGACTGAACAATCTCTCCATATTCGGCTCAGTATGTACTTCGAGTGTTGCGTTTCGGTGCCGTTTTGCATACGGACTTCAAAACTCAAGGAATATATATAATTTGCAATAAAGTACTATTTCGAGACCCTCAATTTTCTTACCTCGTATGAGTTTTATCTAGGACCTCTTCCCAGCCATTTGTTTATAATTATGTACTATTGCTCTGAATTTAATAATTTTGCTTGTAATTATAAATTATATTCTTCTTTTTAGTTCTGTTATTTATAAAAGCGTGTTATTTAGTTTTTGTTTTAACTTTTATTTATTAATTATTCTGCCCGCCCTCGGCGTAGATATCTACTTGCTGTATATTGTTGTGTATGTTCGGCGAGTCGAGACACGACAAGACAAAATCGGAGTCAGGATTGCTCGGCCCTGGGAAGGCTCCGTTCTAAAACCTCACCAAAGCTATGCTGATCGTACCTTGGTCTGATTTACCCTGACTACAAAATATTCTCATTGTTTTTATTAAGTCAAATGTATCACCTTATTTGTTGTATGTCACAATCATTTAGTGTTTCTTTTAGTTATTTATTCTTTATTCTTCACAGTTTTTTACAGTTATTCTTTAGAGTACATTTTCTGTCAGCGATGTAATAATATATGTAATATAATATTATCTATACTATTATATAAAGAGGAAAGGTTTGATTTTTTGTTTGTTTGTATGAATTGAATAGGCTCCGAAAGTACTTGGCAGATTTGAAAAATTCTTTCACTGTTGGAAAGCTACATCATTCCTAAGTGACATAGGCTATATTTCATTTAAAAAAAAAATAGGCATCCTTACTAAAATTACGATAACGTAATCCAAGGTGTTAAAAAAATATCAAAAAACTACCTTACATCTACCGCCCTCTACAGGCAGCCAGCTGAATCAAAGCATTTGGAGATAAAAATTTTATTTTTTTGTTCAGGTTCAGTAAGAAACGAAGTCATGCCACCCAAGAAGTCGAGTTTGGGTCGTCGTACTCGCAATACAGAAGCAAAAAGACGTAAGATTACGAATATGACTAACAAAGAACGGGCCTCCATCCGAGAGACTGAGCGGCTGAGAGCAATGCAGATGCACAACGAGGAATCAGCAGAAAGACGAGCAGATAGGCTTGAGAGAAAACAATTGAGAGTTAGGCAGTCGCGTTCTGAAGCAATCGATTTGATTCACTCTCAAAATAATGAACGCGACAGGGCAAGGGTAGCTGAAGCGCGTTTACAGCTTGCAGATGATCAAAACCTGCAATACAATCGTCTTGCATTCAGATATAATCCAATGCATCAGGTCTGCATATACTGTCAGGCCTCTTCGATTGAATCAGACGAAACTTCGGTCCGAGGAATATATCCATTTGCGGGATGCTGCAACTCTCTTGAAGGATGGCAAAACTGCTCATTCTACTTTTAAACTTCCACTATTAGTAGGGATCGATCTGCGAAAGAAATGTTTTACTCATGGTCAACTGTATGTTGGTCTATCGCGAGTAGGAGCCCCTGAAAATCAATTTATTTTGCTGCCACAAAATAAAACAACATCAAATATTGTTTACAGAGAAGCTGTAACAAAATAAATGTGTTTTCTTTTAGGGTTATGACCTCAATAATTGAAAAAAAAAAATAATAATAAATAAAGGATGAATATGTGTCATATTATTATTATTATTATGAATGTGTTAAAATTGACAAATCTAAATGTAATGTTTAATGCCCGTGCGAAGCCGGGACGGGCCGCTAGTTATATATAAAATAATAATATATCTATTAATATAAAATAAAAATAATCTTTTTAGGATAACAAATGATGCGAGAGAAGATGAGATGGAAGAAAATATGGGACAGGTAAACACAATGATTGGCAACCTGCGAAATATGGCACTGGATATGGGTTCTGAGCTGGAAAATCAAAACCGCCAAATCGACAGAATTAATCGCAAGGTAATTTTTTTTTTATATTAACCCATGAACTATCTTTACACTGAATGTGTTTCATTATACTATTCGTCACTCTTGAATTAGTCTGTTTGGCTTACTAATACGTTGAGTTGCCTTTAAAACATATAAACTAGTTGTATGCTAAATATAGACGTGCTGGTTCTCAAAATGCCCTTTCATCTAACTAAAGGCTCAGTCAACTTTGTCGCGCATTGTTACGGAAACTATATGACTCGATACAGGGTCCAGTTCTAACAGTTCTCAAAACAGTTTTTTAATTTTGTTAACACTGAACGTGGTCGGCGAAAATCCTCCAGCTGAACCCTCCACGAGGGCGCCAGCTGTGCAATTGGCCCTGTATCCGGTACAACCGGTAATGCATTGACTAATAAGCGAATCATTAGCCATGGCTCGAGGTGAGTACAAACAGTTTTCTCTTAATATGGATGAACAAAATATTAGCCGACATCGGTGGAAGGTTTGACTGCTAGCGGCACTGAGAGGAGCTATCCTCTCTGCATGTCGACCGTGGTCACACCTCTGATTTGACGAAAGCTGGTCAAGCTGTAAAGCTGTAACGCTGCTGCCACAAAAACAACACAGAGGAAGCTAAGCCGCACAGGTGTCAAAGTCGACACAGACTCGGACCTGGGAAGCTTGCAGCTTACGAAGGAAGATAAAAAACACCTTCCTTTCTCACCCGAACCAGACACCCGCTCTCCGCGCAGGGATGGGCCGAAGCGTTTAAGCAAGAAAAAAGGCAACCGCGTGGTATAAGGCTGCTCTTCGCATCCAAACCCGGCTCTAGACCAAAGCTGCCCTATCCGAAGAGGAAAGGGTAAAGCTTACCAGGGCCAAGGAAAGGATCGAAGAGAGCAGACTGCTCTTCGCCAAACTTCCAAACCCTCCGCCGAGAGTGCCAAATAGGACACTCTGGGGATCAAGCGGTAACGCGTGCCCAAGAAAGCAGGCCGGGTGCATGTGTGGCTCCTTGAGTCATTGATTACACGGATGGAGAAAGACCCATGTGTGGCCATGCCCATATTCCATGGTGCCGGTGGCTAAATGGGGTCAAAATCCTAAAGGGTATGAGTGACCCGACGAGAAAATGGCTGACGCAAACGGTCGGCCAGATGGAAGCGTTGTGGGACGGTGCTACGCTGGTGGTGGACAGGGAACTAATCCCATCCATCCCAAAAACGAAGGTGCTCTTCCCCATCGCTATTCAAGGGTACCGAGCGCTGAAGCTGCGACAGCGTCAAAATCCGGACATTCCAACCGCAGACTGAAAGATACTGCACGTCATGATTCCGTTACCCAAGGAGGAGGGCCAATCCTCCAGATAAACCAGGAAGCGGAGGACATCCTGTATCCTACGTATACGGGAAGATGGCGTGTGGCATGGGTAGCGTATACCTGCGCCTCAACGCCACCCCGGGGATAAGGATGCTCACACCTTGAAGACTGGCGAGGTGGAGAAAGACCTCGGCCTAGAAAGCATTGTCGATGCCGCCCAGGAACTGACTCTAGATGAGTTCGAAGAGGAGGAAGACGGTGAGCAAGGTCGCGTCGGCGGAACTCCTCATTGCCATGGAGCAATAGACATGGATTGCCTCAGGCAAAACCGTCGCCGGACTAAAGTCCTCAAACTACAACGCATTCTACCCACCATCGGGAAGCAGGATCAGAACCGCCGTACTCGTACAGAAGGGTCTTCAAGCTAACCTTATGTCACATTACAGCTCATATAACGTGACTGCGGTGATGCTAGAAACCATAAAGAAGCGCACTAGTAGCTTCCTGCTATATGGCATACGACAGGCCAGCTTCACCAGAAGAACTCAGGAGCCTGGTAGAACCCAGCCCGAAGGACCAGCAACTGCTCGTGGGTGTTGACGCCAACCCGCACCGCGGCGTGTTGGAGAGCCCCGATGTAAAAGACAGCGGTAAGACACTTTTAGACTTTATACTTTCAATCAACTTAGAAATAGCAAATTCCTTGAGAGACCATCCTTTTCTGACCATTAGTACATACAATTCCAATACAAATTCGAAACCTCCGTAATATTAACTAGGGAAACTTCAATCGCTATTTTACTCGCGACTTGTCCGGGCACAGTAAATTTTAAGGAAGGTATGGAAAAGTCCCTAGGATCCTCTCCAAGGATTTGCTAGGCAAATACCACGCATCATTACTGATATTAAGAACCAAGAAGAGGACCAGACCACCCCGGTGGAATTTTTCAAAACCACCAAGCATTTGATATAATCGACCCTACTATGGGATTACAAGAATAAATACGCATGGCACAAAGAAGATCTTGGTGAAACATAGAAACGATCCCAGGGAACGGTTGAACTCCGGAAGTTGCTATAAAAGCACCCCAACATACATAGTGAGCTCGATCGCGACAAAGAACAGTAGACTGAGGGCAGCGAACTAACGCATGCGCACATTCCGGGTTGCATAGAATTAACCGATGCTCACGAGCACCAATAACTAGCAACTGGAGAAATGCATCTCCCAACAGATCTAATATCCTCTAGAAGAATCCACCAGGCTATAGACTCCTTTGCAAGGATAAAAACACCTGAATAGACGGAATATTTCCAGCCATGCTGCTGGTGCCCAAAGAAGTCGTCACCCCCATGGCTCCACGAAATATACTCAACTAAGCAACAATGGAGGACCTTTTGGATTGTCGTCTTGCCTGAAGCATGAAAGATTTGCCACGTGATTCCCAAGGATCAATGCCGATAAGCCTCACCTCATACTTTCTCTACTTGCTAGAAAACTGCTGGACATATACACCAGAAAGGATGTGAGAAGACTACTGTTTACTAACCAGCATGCCAATACAAAAGGGAAATCAGGGGAAAGGGCAATACCTTTAAGAAAGCCCTTCAAAATAAGGAATACGCTCGAAGTCTTTGGAGACTTATCTGGGTATTTAACAACGTAATCACAGACGCAATAATGGACCGCCTAGAAGCAACCGACATGGACCCCGTCATCAACTTCTGGACAAGAAATCTACTGTTGTAGGAGGGTTCAATCTGATTGGGGTACCGCTTTCATGGTGAAAAGAACACACAGGGGCACGGCGCATGGTGGAGTCTTATCGCCCTTCCTATAAAATCTAGTGGTCAATAACCTAATCAAGAGGTGCAAGAGGAAAGCCGAAAGATAACATTTTGTGCTGACGACATAAGCAAAATTATCACAGGAGTCAGTCCATTGACCCTCAGCTCGGCTATGGAATCAACGCTCAGGGTGATATTTTAATGGGCGGACAAGGTCGGACTCAGTATCAGTAGATGGGATTCCTAACAACCAGGAGAGCATTGGTCTTTGTACCGCTAATTAAAAGGGAAGGGTAATAAAAATTAATTAGGGTCACTGATTGAATGGTGGACACGTGAGAAACGTGTGTGGAAGAGCTACCGCCACGATGACGCAGTTGATATGACTACAAGTGCAAGATTTTAGTGTCGATAAAAAGGGACACTTGTGTGTGCACGAAAGGAGAAGCTCACCATCGATCCCTCAAAAAGGGATGGAACATCTTTTATACCCGTCTGTAATCAAAACACTTCCAATCAATGGATAATACATTAAAATCAAACCACCCTCTTTGCTTATATACAATGACGTCTAAGTGGTACATTCATCACATCCCACTCATTTTCCACTTACATTACAAACCCAGACCAACTTAGAAACAACTTAGAAAAGTCTACTTTGACATAAGGGTGGAGTGGTGTGGGAAAAGGTCCACTCAACATCATCACATTCATCACTTCGATTAAAAAGATTATCATGAATCCTTTCAACACCAACAACGCCAACAACATCAACAATGGAATTTACTGAGAATACCGCCGAGAAGATCTACCTATGGGTGTGAAATTGAAACACCACAACCGTACAGAAGCCCATAAGTTTTTTTGCAAACCGACCTGTGGAAGAAAGCATTAGACAGATTTTAGATGGATTAAAGGGACGAATCCTCCAATATATGTATGTTCGTTAATGAAAGGCTGCAGTTAAAAATCCAAATGAATTTCTTAGTGATGCAGCCCTCGCACTGATCCCTCATATTTAACTGGTGATGGTCTCCCACCTTTGTTTGAAAATCAATTTCGACTTGCTTGGAGAATATATGCTAGTAAATGGTCATGACTGTCGCGTGGAAACGAAGTAATTTCAAAGTAAAATAACCCTAATTACATCATGATGTTATACTTCAATTTCCATAAAAAGGTAAATGAAGAAAAAACAAGAAAGGAAGCTTACTTCGGCACGTCGAAGTTTATATACCCTTGCAGATAGAACTTCGATGGCTAAACAATATAAATACAATATAAATTACAGTCGAGTCCCGATAATTCGAAATGGCAAGGGGATCACTTTTTTTACGAATTAGACGGGAATTCGATTTATCGAGATTTCTATTTAAAGGGGCTCAAAATGAAAGAGTCGAATAAACGGGGTTTTTACATTTCACATCATGTTTACATATGTATTTAGCTTTATTAAAATTAAACAAACATAATAAATATGTATATTCGTTTGTACGTTTTTCAAATTAAAGAAAAATTAAACAAAAATTAACAAACAAAATTAAGCAGAAACATTAAATTATTAAAATGAAAATTCAAGATTTCAAATAATTGGTAATTTTTTATTGCTTCGTGTTTTTTTCTTATATTTTTTCCATTTCGTTTTCTAAACCTATTAGGTTGTCAAACACACTATTTGGCACATCATGAGTCGAAAAATTATGTTTAAGTTGAGGAATTAATGCTCTGGTTCGTAATTTCTTCTCCTTTCTGATGTCTGCAAAATCTAACGTCGCTTTAACTACAAAATATTTCGCATCGCATTACGATTTATAAGAGGTTTCGAAACAAAATTACGATTTATAAGGGGTTCAATATTCTTTGCGTTGCGCCAAATACTACGAATTAACGAGGGGACCAAAATGTATGGAATTTTTACG